TCCTCCTCCTCCTCCTCCTCCTCCTCCTCCTCCTCCTCCTCCTCCTCCTCCCGAATCCCACCAGCCCTCTGGGCTTAGGTGTATAACGCGTTGTTTTCTTCTCGCTACCCCTCCCCCTACCCCCTCCCCTGGGCCTGGGAAGGGGGGGGGGCGGAGGCACCGCAGCGTCCAAAAAGGCTCCAAGAGGGCTTCAAAGTCGCAAGATGGCCTCCAAGATGGCCCATGCTACTTCAAGATGGGTCAAAATAGCCTCCGACATACCCCCAAGAGGCCCCAAGACGGATCCAAGTGCCCTCCGAGCTCTCCACGGCGCCCTCCAAGATGCCCAAACCCTTCAAAAACGTAGGGGTAATCAATGCTTTTAGCATTATCGCCTTTCCGCTTCCGATGGGCGTTGGAAGCCTCAATATGGCCCAACAGAGGCCCAAGAGGGGCCCAAAAAGGCCGAAGACGGCCCCAAGATCGCCCAAGAGGCGCCCAAGAGCGCTCCAAGAGGGCCCCGAGATGCCGTTTGAGAGCCTCCGAGGGGGCGATGTTAATTGAGGGACCTCCTCTTTTTGAGCCACGGGGCCCAAGATGACCCCAAGAGGCCTCCCAGCCTCTCCCCAAAAAACCCTCCACCCCGCCCTGTTTGGCCCAATATGGCTCCAAGAGAGCCCTAGATAGGCAAATGCGGTTTTCAAAACGGCTAAGATAGCCAAGCCTCGCTCCATATAGCCCCCGGCAGACCTCCAAGAGGCCTCACGGCAGCCTCAAGATGGTCCAAGGTAGCCGATCATGGCTCAAGATAGCCTCCAAAGAGGCCTCAAGAAAACAGGCAATCAATTCTGGACGGGCTGGTGGGGATACTTTTTTTGGTCGCAGCCGCAGGCGAGAGCGCAAGCGGCGAGTCGTAAGTCCGGGGCGCGGGCCTACTAATTACAACAGGAGCAAGCTAGAGCGGCGTAGCCTAAACAACTAGCAGCCTCAGCGTCGCCTCAGGTAGGCTGCAAGCTGCACGGAGATGCCAGGGCCAGGGGCGGAAAGCGGTTTGTGGGGAGATTTTTCTCGCGAGCGCAAGCGGAAGCGCTGGCGCCGAGATGCAAGGTCCGGGCCACGGGCCAATCCAATTAGCAACGCGCGAGCCTAAAAACACAGCGGCCGAGCCCGGACTCAGAACTTACCGCCGGTGGGGCAGCTGGCCGAGGCTGAGCTGGCTGAGCTGACTGCAAGCGGCCAGGGTAGTTGATGCATACGTGCGGGTGAATTGGATCCTGCACGCTAGGAGATGTCGTGACCTGCTCTGTATCTACAGACCAAACGTCTGCCTAGCGAGGCGGTGCCACCAGATGGACAGACCCGGGAAGGCGGCGCGCAACCAGGAAGAACAGAGTCCGAGAGGTGCAAGCGCGCTCGAACTTAAGTGGGTACCGTGGGGAGAAATCGCCAAGTACGCAAACAGACCTTGTCGCCACCGGGCGCCAGGGGTCAGGGCCACAACCGTGGCTGGTACGTGCCAAGACAAGGCGGTAACGAACTGGTGGGGGTACTTCTTTTTGGTCGCGGCCGCGAGACGACGGTCAGGCGGCAAGAGCAAAGTCCGGGACGCGAACTAGGCTAATTAGCCACAACAGGCACAGGCCGGCCGGCCCCTGGTGGGGGTACGGGGGCACCAAGCCCGTTTTCGGTGTAATTGGGGGTGCCCCTTCCATCTCCAGGAGGGTTCTGGGCGCCCACCCTCCCCCCCTCACTCACAGCGAGGCGCCAGCTGGCCAGAATTCCAGGGCGGATCCAGCCATGGCATCGAGGATGATCCCAAGACCAAGAGGGGCCCCAAACATGTCAAGAACGCCCCCCCCCAACCGAAAAAAACACCACGTCCTCCATTATCCTCCTGCCTCCTGCGCCAACTCCAAGCATGGAATCTGCAGGCAGGCTCGTCTCTCCCCTCCTCCTCCTCCTGATCATCATCCTCCTCCTCCTCGTCCTCCTCCTCCTCCTCCTCGTCCTCCTCCTCCTCGTCCTCGTCCTCGTCCTCCTCCTCCTCGTCCTCCTCCTCCTCGTCCACCTCGTCCTCCTCGTTCTCCTCGTCCTCTTCGTCCTCCTTGTCCTCCTCGTCCTCCTCGTCCTCCTCGTCCTCCTCCTCGTCTTCCTCCTCCTAGTCCTCCTCCTCCTAGTCCTCCTCCACCTCCCCTCCTCCCTCCTCCTCCTCCTCCTCCTCCTCCTCCCCCTCCTCCTCCTCCTGCTCTCCTCACTCCACATCCTCCTCCTCCTCCTCCTCCTCCTCCTGCCCCATCCCCCTCCGTACTCCTCGTACTCGTCCTCGCCTCCTCCGCCTCCTCCGCCTCCTCGTCCTCCTCCTCCTCCTCCTCCTCCCTCTCCTCCACCTCCTCGTCCCCGTCCTCCTCCACCTCCTCTCCTCCCTCACTCCCTCCCCCCCTCCCTTTCCGTTCCCCCGCTCTTCCCTCCATCCCTCTCCTCCTCCCTTCCTCAAGAAGGCGATGCCACCCCGCAAGCCTCACCTCATCGTCGGCCGTGCCGAGAAGTTGCGAGCGGGCGGGCTTCCGTCCCCGCCTCCGCCTCGTCGAGCCTCGTCCTCCACCCCTGTCTCGCGGCTGGGGACGCGGATCGAGTCAGTGCTCCGCGGTGTGTGGCCAGAACGCTACGTTTAGGTCGGGCAAGTCCCCCTACAGGCGGATTTTGGAGGAGCAACCAAAAATATCCGAAACATACTCCCAAATAGGAAAAATACTCAAAACCTCGTCCCCATTCGATTTTCAAAATATGTCTGGAGATTCCTCCTGTAGAGGGACACGCCCGACTTAACGCTACGTCTCTAGGAGGCTTCGGAAACTGGTCATGGGCATCGTTTAACCGATCCTAACCCCCCCACCCCACCCCGGCGTGGCCTGGGCCCCAACTGGCCACTTTACCCCCCTGTGTGGGGATAGTGGCTCTTCCCTTCGGGCTTCGAAGGGTATATGGTCCAGGGCTTGGCCCCCCCCCTTCCCCCCCAATGCTGATGTGCCCCCCCCCCCCCCCCCCGCGCGATGGTCCCCCCCGCCCCCCCCTGTGGGCGTGGCGTGGTGCTGCGCTGCGGTGCCCCCCCCCCCCCCTGTGGATGTGGTGTGGTGCTGTGGTGGTTCAGAGGTGGGCGTGGCGTGGTGCTGCGCTGCGGTGCCCCCCTCCCCCCCTGTGGATGTGGTGTGGTGCTGTGGTGGTTAACAGGTCGTCGTCGTCGTCGTCGTCCTCGTCGTCGACGTCGCCGTCGTCGTCGTCCTCGTCGTCGTCCTCGTCGTCCTCGTCGTCCTCGTCGTCGTCGTCGTCGTCGTCCTCGTCGTCGTCGTCGTCGTCATTGTCGTCGTCGTCGTCGTCGTCATCGTCGTCGTCGCCGTCGTCATCGTCGTCATCGTCGTCGTCGCCGCCGCCGCCGCCGGCGTCGTCGCCGCCGCAGCCGTCGTCGTCGTCGTCGTGGTCGTCGTCATCGTCGTCGCCGTCGCCGTCGTCGTCGCCGTCGTCGTCGTCGTCGTCGTCGTCGCCGTCGTCGTCGTCGTCGCTGTCGTCGTCGTCGTCGTCGTCGTCGTCGTCGTCGTTCGTCTCTGGGACCATACCATCTGGGGGGGGGGGCCCGAGGAATCCTGGGACCATACCATCTGGGGGGGGGGCCGTGGGCCCGGAGCCCGGGACCATATATCCCCAACTGGGGTGCTCAGATCGTCGTGCTTGGGATGGGGATGCGGACGGGAATATTAGAGGAGCAACAAAAGGCATAAACATAAACTTTGACATTAAGCGCAGATTTCTTTCACCCGCGCTTGAAGCCCCTCCCTGGGAGCCCAGAACGGATCCAAGACACCCCCGAGAACCGCCAAAACTGTATGTCTATACCGTTTGTTCCCTTCGAGGGATGGGGATGGGGATGGGGATGGGCGGTCGGTTAAACGATACCGAGGCCAGGATCCCCAGTCTGCGCCCAAGGGGGCCCCGTCAACACGCGTCGATGTTAAACTAACATGTTGCCTCCTCCTGCTCCTCCTCCTCCTCCCACCTCCCCTCCTCCTACTCGTACGATCCTCTTCCTATCGCTTCCCCCCCCTCCTCCTCCCCCTCCTCCTCCTGCTCCACCTCCCTTTCCTCACTCCTTTCTTCACCTCTATCCTCTCCCTCCTCCTTCTCCAACCTCCACCCATCCTCCATCCTCATCCTCCTCCTAGTCCACATGCTCCTCCCTCCTCCCTCGTCGTCGAAGTCTGCCTCCTCCTCCTCCTCCTCTTCCTCCTCTTCCTCCTCTTCCTCCTCCTGCTCCTCCTCAGGTCCTCCCCCCTCCTCCTCCCCTCCCCTCCCCTCTGGCCCGCGGAGCGAGGGCGCGCCCCCCCGGACTCCTGGCGAGCTCCTCCCTCTGCGACGCCAGCTCCTGCCGCGCCTCCCGCGGGGGCCCGCCCGCCCCGTCACGTCCCCCGCCACCCCCATCCTCTGCGGGGGAAGGGGGGTGGCACCCCGGCGGGGTGCAACTCCGCAACCCAGAGATCCAGCGTACTGAGAAAAAGCAGGACGGACTTGCTGTCGCAAGTTTCGGCCCCTAGGCACGGCACGGCACGAGCACGGCCCAGCGGGGCCACCGCCCGCGCAGCTGGGGCCCCCCTGCACGTCGCTGGCCAAATGCAAGAGCGACGCGCAGCAAGAGGTGGAGCCCAAGGGGGGGGGGGGCTCGGTCCCCATAGATCCAACGCGTTGACAAACATCAAAGCAAGACGGAAATGTTTCCCAAATTTCGGCCCCTATAAGGGCCCTCGCCTGGCCTCGGGACCGTCAAACAACGACTCAGGATGAAGAACTGGTCCTCGGGAATGGGTCCAGATTTCCTGGGACCTCGTATTGAAAAATCACAGCGTCGGATCTCTGGGAATGCACGGGGTTGCCTCAACGGAAGGAAGACGATTCTGGATTCTGGTGCTGCTCGCTTCTGGAAGCCCGAGCATATTACCAACGTCAGCGAGATCGGGATCCGTTTCCCTCGGTGGAGCCACTCCGCTGGTACAACCTCTAGGCCTCCGAGGAAGTGAGCATCGTTTGACCGATCCCCATCCCCACCAGCGTGGGCTGGGCCCCTCTGGCCGATTTACCCCCCTGGATGGGGATGTGGGCCGTCCCCTTCGGGTTTCGAGGTGTGTGCCCCAACTGGGGTGCAAGGATGCTGGGGGGTCTGGATGGATGGGGACCTAGACATGCGACGTCCTGATTTTGTCAGGACGGCGTCCCCGAAAGTCCCGACCCTTCCCCCAGGACCGCTTTTTCATCCTGAGTCGTTTTCCCGAGGCCCGGCGAGGGCCCCACGGGGCCGAAGATAGCCAACAAGCTCCCGTCCTGAATATTTTTCAACGGCGCGATCACGTCTAGGGAGGGGGATCCGTTGCACGATGCCGGGGGAGGGGGGCCCAGCGGGGTGCCCCTCCGCAATGCCGCCGACGTGGCGGGTGGAGCCGTCGCCGCGCCTCTGCTCGGGCGCGGCACGCGCCACGCCGATGCGCTTCTCTTGGCGGTGGACAAACCTTCCTTGAGTAAACCTCCCTCTATGGAAAACGGCCTGGGACCGAAACCGACGGACCTGGACCCGCAAAGATGACGGCCGCGACGCCCTCTCGTGAACCGAAAACGGCCCATTCCCTGATCGACGCGTCAGGGCAGGAGGTCTGTGCACCCCCGAGGGGGGCAGGGCGCGCCCGCCCCCCGGTGGGGAGGAGAGGGGGGGGAAAGGAGCGCCTCTTTTTGGCTTCGGCGTTTCGGCACTGGGCGGGGTCTGGCTCGGGCGCTTCGACGTCCGGCGCTTCGACACGGGGCGTCTCGACACGGGGCGCTTCGGCATGCGGCGTTTATATTCGGCGTTTCGTCGTTCGGGGGGAGGGGGGGTATGGCTCCAGGCCTCTGCTTAGCGCGACTATTTGCAAGAGTGCTGCCCCTGAGGGAGGCTCCACCCGCTCGAAACAGGCGCCGACAAAAAACAGCCAAGATCTACTCCATAGGGTGTGTGTGTGTGTGTGTGTGTGTGTGTGTGTGTGTGGCCCGCGCGGATCGGCAAAACAAGGAATACAGAACGATCACGTGTAGGGCAGCTGTTTTCAGCCACGGCCCTGCAGGGACAGAGGCCTTCTCCCAAGACCGACGGAGATGAAGTGGGTGAGGAGGGGGCAGAGAAGGATTGAGGAGGAGAACGGGGGGGAGGGAGGGGAGGAAAGGGCAATCAGAGGACGATGAGTAAAGAAGGAACGGAGTGAGCGGGAGAGAAAGTAAAAGCAGGGGATGGCAGAGAGAGAGGGCGAAAAGCAAGAGAAAGAAAAACAAGAGTGAGAAAGCGAGAGAGAGAGAGAGAAACACGAGAAAACGAGAGGCATTATGGGCCGCCGAAACCTTACAGTCACGCCGCACAACTTCAAGCCACAAGAGGGCACCGCCCAATCGATCAAGAAACACACACGGCACGGCAGCGCGGGTCACAAACTCCGAGCACCTCTCGGCGCTGGTGCTGCCTCGGAAAAATCGGGCGCTGGTGCCCGGCGTGCGTCCTCTGCTGTGGCTCCCAGCACCGCAACCCCGCGCCCGCCCAGAGGTGCAAACCGATCGAGCAAAGCGCAGCGCGGCAGCGCGGGCGGTAAGCTTCCAGCGCCCCTCGGCGCGGGCGCTGGTGCTCGGCGTGCGCGTTCGCTGCTGTGCCTCCCGCCGCCGCAAACCGATCCAGCCAAGCACAGCGCCGCAGCGCGGGTCACAAACTTCCGGCGCCCCTCGGCGCGGGCGCTGCCTCTCGCAGCATCGGGCCCCTGGTGCGCTCTCGCTGCTGTGCCTCCCGCCGCCGCCGCCCCGCGCCCGCCCAGGGGAGCCCTCCCCCCAGGCCCAGGCCCCCCCCCCCCCCCCCCAGCGCGCGGCGCCCACCGGGCCCCCCCCCCGCCCTCGGAAAGGCCCTCGCGGGGCGCCCACCTCCCCGCCCCCCCGCGCCCACCCTCGGCGGCGGGCGGGGGAGGCCCCCGCAGCTCCGGCAGGCCCAAGCAGCATCTGCACCCCGGTCGGCCGTCCCGTTCTACTGCGCACCGGAGCTGCCAGCCTAACCAGGCCGGGTGTGGCCCACTGCTTCCGCCCGGCCTTTCAGCCACGTGACTGTGGTAATGATAAGTGGTGGTGCGTTGGCGGCCCCTTTCTCGGCGACGAGCGAGGGGGGAAGTGAGAAGGAGGAGGCCTCCTCCTTCCTCAGAGAAGCCCTCGCGCCCCTCGGAGAAGTATCCGAAGTGTCTTCGGGGAAGGCTCAGGACATTTCGCAGAAGGCCGAGGGACTTCCGAGCCTTCTGAAAGTAGAAAAAAAAAAAAAGACGCCATAAACATAAACTGTTGGCGCTCTGCGCGAATTTCATGGATCCGCGCTGGGCCCCCCGGCGGCGCCTCCGGCGCCACCCCTGGTGCGCGGAGCGCGCCTCCGCGCGGACGCCAAAATGTTATGTTCATGGCGTTTCTTCTTCTTCGAGAGCAGGACCGCTCGCCGCCGACACTGGCCCTTCTCACTACTCCCCCCCGCTCGCCGCCGACACTGGCCCTCACACGCCTGCGCAAATCTTCGCAGCGCGCCACACCGTGCCCGCGGCCGCCGCGGGCAACGAGAGCAGGCCACTCCCAAGGGAGAGCCGCGCCCACGACACATGCTGCTCGGAGCTGCGCAGGGCCCGCCGCAGGTCGCGACCCTGGCGCGCAGAGCGTTTCAAGCAGATGTCGCGTCGAACGGTCAAACGGGTCACATGAGCGACGATCAGAAACGGGTCTTACGCGATATGGCATAGCGACCTTACGCTGCAGCATGCGCGGGCCGCCAGCGCGGCACGCGCGACCTTACGCGGGCAGTTTGCACGCGAATGTCGGCGAAGACGGCCCGCATGGTTTTCGAAGAACGGTGGGCATGATCACTCCTGGTCGGCACAGAGGTGGGGGGCCCAAACGCGTCGCCTGCTGCACTGCGGCGGCCCTGGGCCTGTGAGCAGGAGCTCCTCCTCCTCCTCGCCCTCCCTCCTCCCCCTCCTCCTCCTCCTCCTCCTCCTCCTCCTCCTCCTCCTCCTCCTCCTCCTCAGCCCCCGCCCAAGAACAGGATGCGAGGCCGCATGTGGGAGCCCCAGCCCTCCCCACACCGCCAGGCACCGCCCCGCGGCGCGGGCGATGGCGGCTGCACAAGTGGTCAGGCCCCACGCTGGCAGGTCCATGAGGGTGCTGCCACTGCTCGTTGGGGTCATCAACCCGTTGTCCGCGCTGGGGTCCAGGGCCGAGGACATCGACGACGAGGTTAGCAGTTTCGACGTGGTCGCGCTCGTGGGCACGCAATCCAAGGCCACCCCTGGCTATGCAGACGGACTCCAGCCAGCTGCAATGGGACGGCTGGTTATCGATTCAGGCTGGGACCATGGAGCTTACACAAATCATGCAGCTGGATGCAGGCTCTTGTGGGGAAGGCGCTGTTCTAAAGACCGCCTTCGTAGCGTATTTCCAACGCCAGCGCCACTTGAAGGACGTGTACCGGCAGCGAAGTGCGAGAACGGCTTGATGGACTTGACAGCAATAGCGATGCACTTCCCACCACGGCCCAAGACGGCCAAAGCTGGCGCTCACTACAAAGAGACCTACACGCGCATGACACAGTGGCTGGACCAGGCGCTTCTCAACACACCGCACTCTTCTTCTCTGCCGCTCATCATGACGGACTTGAACGACGGCTTTAGAATCGGATCTGTTGCTAAGACTGGTTAAGTCGGCGAGGCGGTCATCAGCGAGCGGAACGCGACGAAGGAGTTCACGAAGGGTGTGGGTGAGAACCTCAGGGAAGTTCTTCTGAGGCATCATATGGCAGTGTACAATGACAGTTTGGATCCAACGTGGTTTGGCAATAAGGGCGAAGCCACTCGTATCGACTACATCATGGGCCCGCTCACGTGGAAGGACGCTCTGCAAAAGTGTACTCCGTTGCTGAAGTTGGGCAGACGATTGCAACTTATTCGGCGCCGGCAGCTGCGAGGCCGTTCCTGTGCATGCGCGTGTGCTATACGACAGATTGGCCACTTGCAATGACAGCGAAAATGAGCGTAGTCGAAAGAAACGGGATAGATACTCTTTGATTCACGCCCTTTGGCACGGAGATCGCAAGCGCGAGTATTTGGCGCAGCTTGACGAGTTTCTGCGCAACGACATGGAGGAGTGGGTCCAGCTGGGCTTGCAGAAGACACCAGACGCCATCTTCGCCTATTTGGAGCAGAACGTGGATAGAATTGGGCTGGGCCACTTCCCCACGCCGCACTTTGTCGACGAATCTAACAAAGTTCACAGAAAAGGCTCGTTTGGCGATCTTACAGCAGAGGCGTCATTTGCGGGAGGCTACGTGGGCAACATATACGACCATTGAAGATGTTCAAGCACAACTCAGAGCAATCTCAAAGGAATGCGGGAGAATCAGAAGTTGAGCACGACAGCAGACCAGAGCAGCCATCGAGGAAGAGATTAAACAGCACTGGGAGGCTCGGAGATTTGCCCAGGCGAACCGCGCGACGATCAGACTGGGGAACAACAGGACGGGCACAAAACGACGGGACCTTCGAGCTCTGCCCCTCGCGAACCCGACGAAGCAGGAGCGGGTGGAGGCGCTCGAGCTGGCGGGCAAAGATGGAGGCATGAGCGCAGTGGAGATTACACCAAACCCACGCGGACAGGTGGAAGAGCTTGAATGTGAAGAAATCCCAGATGAGTTGCCCAATATCCCAGATCCTTGGCAATGTATAGAAGAGAACGCGGACGTGCCTGAGCTTCAAGATGATGACGCCCTTGATGATGATGATGATGATGATGATGATGATGATGATGATGATGATGATAATGATGATGATGCTGATGATGATGATGTCTTTCTCGACAGTCAGAGAGACATTAAGCGGCTGAGGCGGCATCCGGTACAGACCCCGAAGAGGAACGCGTGCCCCGCAGGCTCTCCGCCAGCGGAGCTTTTTTCCGGATACCACTTCGCCCTGCACGAGATGCTTTCCACAAAGGGAATTGGCTACGATCTGCAAGGCACGGGCAACAGCTTCATCGAGGCATGCCTGCACATGGCTTTCTACCTTCTGCGAGATCATCAGATTACCGCTTTGAACTGGCAAATTTCTGAGTGTTCCGCGGCAAGGAAAAAACGAACAACCTGGACCCAAAGGGCGGCGACTTCGACACATTCTTCGCGTCTTGGGCTAAGGTTTTTTCTTCAAATTGCATCGCAGCACGTCGCCCACCACCACTTTCCAGCAGATTTGGACACCCGAAATGGGTACCGAAAGAATGGGTACAATGCCCAACAACAAATGTTGTCCCAAACCAACAGCGGCCGCTGTTGGACAGGCGGCCTTCTGCCTCGAATGGACACAGGCCGCGGCGGCGCGGACAGCGAGCCCTGTTCAAAATGAACAGGAACTGCTGTTGGGCATTGTACCCATTCTTTCAGTGCCCATGTCGGGCGTCCAGAGCAGAGCATCGTGGATGCGCGCGAGGGAGACGCCCGGGAAGTGCTATCATGGCTTCAATGATCACGGGCTACACTCTCAGGCAATTGAGGTGCTCATGTATTGACGGCTTCAAGGACATGACCAACGATTTTCCATCAGTTGGCTGGCATTATATGGAGAGGGCGGCTTCTGCTGCGGCACGGGACAAAGACTTACGACTGGCTCATCAGCGAAATCGGCGAGCGCAAGTGCAGCTTCCAGCAGCTGAGGGTACGCCCCACTGTAGGCCGACGGAGGGGGGCCTCATGGGGGGCCCCCCAAGCCCTTACTCATGCCATTGAGCCGCGGGCGACGCAGTGGCGCCAAAAAGATGATGCTGGTAAAATGCTGGCGGTCAAGTGCCCGATCACAAGGCGCGAAACGGATCTCAGCTTGCACTTGTACGCTGACGATGTCAACAAAAAGATCTCGCAAAACCAGCTGGCGCTAACAGAGGATGTGAACCTGGACGAGCTGAGGGGTCAGTTGCAGGACTCTGACAAGCTCATGGACGAGCAACTGCTCAAGATCGGACTGACTCAGAACAAGTCAAAGCAGGTCAACGCCATGGCTTTGCATGGCAATGGAAGTGGCATAGCGAGAAGGGGCTTACTGCGACGGGAACAGCAAAAAAATGGCGCGGTCAGATAGTGGATCACGCACGCCACTTGGGCCCCATTCAAACACATATCCAGAGCTTTGGCATCGAACTTGCGAAGAGGATCTCCGCGGCCAAAGCAGCATGTTACTCACTGGGATCCTTCTGGAGTGCCAAGCGTGTCCCGTGGAGATGGCGAAGGACTGTGCTGATTGGAAGAGTTGTGAACGCGGCGCGTACCGCGGTGGAGGTTGTCCTGCCTACGCGCGAGCAGTGCGACGCGCTCGACGGGACGATTGCTTCTTTGGCTCGTCCAGCTATAAGGTGCAGCCTGCGCGCGCAACGAGGAGGACGGCACAGTGCACGCGCTGACGAACACAGAAGTCTTGGCACATTGGAAGATTCCCAGGTCTCAAGCTGAGTTGCGGGTGAGAGGGCGAGAAGGTTGAAGTGGCTACATCAGGCGGCAAAGGACAGGAACAACAACGTCCAGTTCTTCGGGGCTCTTTTTGGCACCATCGGCGGCCAGCAATGACGCGCGGCGGCCGACGATGACTTCATTTGCGCGCTGGCCCGTCCTTGGGCAAAGCGGGTACAACAAGACGCTGGCTCGCTCATTCAGGTCTCCGACGAAGCTCTTCGACTGCAATAGAGCGCTGGTCCGCATATCGTGGCCTGGCTAAAAGGCCCGCTAACTCGTGAAGACTTCTGCAATATCGATGCCAACATCCTCCGTGCAAGCACATTCAGCAAAAACGTACCGCCCCCAACATGTTTTCTCCCACGGGCAAGCAAACCCGAGGTGGACTCCGCATTTGGTTTCGACGAGGAGGAGAAGGTGATTCACGAGGTGGAGGAGGAATTTAAGTGTCAGGTGGATGTGGATGGGAGAACGTGTGGTAGCATTTTCTATTCGAAACGGGCCCTTCGCACGCACGCTCGACAAGCACACAGTATCGTCAACGCTTGCTCGTTTATAACCCGACGAACGTCTGCATCGTGTGTGAATAGGTCTTCACCACCGAGGTCACAGCACGTCGGCACTAAGCTCGCTTTGTTCAGAGAGGATGCTGCGTGGTCGACCTCGCTCGAACACTCGTCCGTGCACAAGAGCGCAACACATTACATTGTCCTGGATGTGATTATGTAGCTGGTTCGCGGCTCGAGCTTCGAGATCACCTCGATCGCCATCTGCCTTTCATACCTGATATTCGGGCGCCCGCTACTGTGGGTAAGAACATTCCGTATGGCCGAAGTGGACGACATGGAGCAGGACGCAGAGGAGCCTCCGTGGACAAAGGAGGCAGGCATCGCTCAGGTGCGCTGGGGACTACCGAGCAACAAGAGACCCGCGGCAGGAGCAAGCGCAGGAGCTGGTGGAGCAGGCCAAAGGAGCAGCAGGCAAAGACGCCACCAAACCTCAAATCGTCCAGCAAATCGTGCTCATTCTCGCCAACCTTGTGCCCAGCATGGCGGGAGACCTCAGGTCGGTCATCAGCGTGGTCTTCGTCACGGTGATCATCTCGAGCACAGCTCCTTGCATTCAGGCGGCCATCCTGGCGGGCAAGAGCTACCACAAGGCGGCGATCGATTCAAAGGAAAAGGCAAAGGAGGACGACGCGGTGGACACAGCGAAGCTGGGCAGCCCACATCTACACGTATGGAAGGAGTTCATCAAGGCTCTCCTCGCGAGAACAGAGGCCGGCCAGGCGAGAGACACGCTCACCAAGTACTGGACCGAGAAAATTATGAAGTACGAGCTCGTGGACGCGGCGATGGACATCAAATACTTCAGGGTGCGGGCGCCGCAGGGCAAAGAGGCCAAGAAGAAGTCCAAGCGCATGGAGGGCAAGGTACGGCTGCAGTGGGCTCTCTCGACGACGACGATCGCTCAGGAGCTCGACGGCACCATTCGCTCGGATATCATCAGGCACGGAGGGGAAATCCTGGTTGGAGCAGCCCCACGCGGGGCTTTGGAGAGGAACGCGCGAGCGCTCTTGAACAAGCTGGAGCCAAACTAGGCGAGGCCGAAAGGAGGAGGATGAGAAGCCTAGCGGATAGTCATCGTCCGAATGAGTTGGTTTCTGGGGGCCTCGTGAGTAGAGAAGCAGCCCTCGCCTCCTTCACCTCCTCCCTCTCTGAATCTGCTCAGGAGAATCCCAGGGGCCGCTTCATCCCGACAGCTAAAATTCAGCCGCGTCCTCAGGGACGGGCCAGAGGTAAATTCAGGGGGGCACAACATCGCCCCCCTGAGCAAGGGAGAGGCTCGGGGCTGCCTCGCCACTGGCCCCGTGGTGCGGGATGCCGTTGGGGGCCTCGCGCTAGAGGGTGAGGTGCAGGTTGCCTCACGTCTCTCTGGTGAAACTATCGTGTGGGCCGCCACCCCAGCGCCCCGTGCTCATACCCTGTGGGTTGCCTGGGGGCCCGAGTGTTTTCCACCAGTGCCAGTGTGTAGCAAAGTTGCAGCCACGCAGGCATGCCGCCCAGCGAATCCTAAGGTGGTAGTCAGACTACTCGTACCTTCGTTCGCCCAGGGAAGTCAGTCAGTCAGTCTCCTCCTCCCCTCCTCCTTCCCTCCCTCCTCCTCCTCTCCTCCCTCCTCCTCCTCCTTCCTCCTCGTCCGTCGTCCGCCTCCTCCTCCTCCTCCTCCTCCTCCTCCTCCTCCTCCTCATTGCCTGGAACGTCTCTGCGATGCAGGCGCGACACCAGGCCCGGGCAATACCCCTGGTCGGCACATGTTTAGGAGGCCCAGAGGCGATGCGTACCACCTCGAGGTGGTGCTGGGCCCGTGGGGAAAAACTCGTGCACTGGGCCACCACGGGCGTCCTCCCTGAGCCCGACAGCATGGGCGCTGTTCGCGGTTTGTGCGAGTGGGCCTGATTGAGTGAATCGGATTCGCGTGCTTTGCGTGGAATCGGACACGATGGACGGAAAATGCTGGTCTGACTCGAGATGGCCTGGGCATGGGCGAGGCTGAACATGAATTGGCCAGCGTATGTGTGCGTGTGTGTGTGTGTGTGTGTGTGTGTGTGTGTGTGTGTGTGTGTGTGTGTGTGTGTGTGTGTGTGTGTGTGTGTGTGTGTGTGTGTGTGTGTGTGTGTGTGTGTGTGTGTGTGTGTGTGTTTGTCAAGTATGAAGGGAGTCTTGGTATGAGCTAGTCTGAGCACGAGTGGGATCCGAATGGGAGTAATCCCGAGTGCGAGTGAGCCTGAGTATGAGTGCGGCTGGGCGCGGGGAAGCAGGAATAATTATAGCCGGAGTGCAGTATCCCCAAACAGGTGTGTTTAAACCCGCTGCGGTTTCCAAGGTCGATTGCCGTCCCGTCCAGTGGGCTGACATGGCATGCTAGAACATGACAACATGATGTTTGCACATGAGATGTGTACACGAAAACTTTTGTGACGCATGCCTATCAGGAAGCTAACGCTAGAGGGTGTCGTACTCTCTCGCACGTCGGATGTCTGGGGAGGGCGGAAGGCAGGGCGCGCATGACGGATGCTGAGGCGGCAGAAACGACGACGGCGGGGACTGGGAGGCGGAGGCAGAGGCGCAGCAGCGGGAGGCGGGAGGCGGGAGGAGGGAGGAGGGAAGAGGAGCCAGGCGGGAAGCGGAAAGAGGGAGGCGGGAGAAGGAATGAGAGAGGCTGTGATTGGAGCCCCTGTGCTACGAAACGTCTCAGGCAGAACGGGTCAGACCATCTCGCGCGCAACATCTTCGAGCTTCGCATTGTGAGGATGGCTCAAGCGAAACGGGCCGGACCAGCTCGCGAGCGACATCTTGGAGCTCAATATTGGAAGGATGTCTCAAACGAAACGGGCCAGACAACCTCTCGCACACGTTCTGACAAGTCCGCGTCACACTCGCTTCCCGTTAGGTCCTCTCCTGCAACTCCCTTCCTTCTCCCTCCTCCTCCTCCTTCGCCTCCTCCTCCTCCTCCTCCTTCTCCTCCCCCTCCTCCTGCCTACTCCCTCATCCACATTATCCTCCTCCTCCTCCTTCTCCCTTCCATCTCCTCCTCCTTCTCCTCCTCCTCCTCCACCTCCTCTTCATCCCGAACGGCATCTCGGAGCCCAGAGTTGGGAGGATGTCTCCAGCGTAATGGGCTGGACCACCTCGCGCGCGGCATCTCGGACCCGAGAGTTGCGACGATGTCTCGGGCGACACGTGCTGCGAGGAAGTCTCAGGCGAAACGGGCCGGACCACCTCGAGCGCGGCGTCTCAAAGTTCCGAGTTGCGGGGGCCTCCTGGGGCCTCCTGGGGCCTCCTGGGGACCTCCTGGGGCTTCCCCCTGGGCCTCCTGTGGCCTTCTGGACCCCACCTGGGGCTTCCTGAAGCCTCTTGGGGCTCCCAGGGTGGATATTTAACATGTGGCCGTCTGGGCCCCCCAAAATGGGGGGGGGGCCACAAGAGCAGAAAAAATCAACGAATCGATACCGGATGTGTATTTACTTGACACGTTCTGATAGGGGGGCTCCTGAGGCCTCCTGGGAGCCTCCTGGGAATCTCCTGGGGACACCTGGGGCCTGTCCTGGGCGTCCTGCGGCCTCCTGAAACTCTCCGGGGCCTCCTGTGGCTCCCAGGGTCCCAGGCGGGATATGTAACATGTGGTTTTCTGGGCCCCCAGGCTGGACCACCTCTTGCGCGGCATCTGGGAGCTCAGAGTTGCGAGAATGTCTTTTGCGAAACGGGCCAGACCACCTTGCGCACGGCATCTCAGAGCTCAGAGTTGCGAGGATGTCTCAGGCGAGACGGGCCGAACCACCTCGCGCAGGGCATCTCAGAGCTCAGAGTTGCGAGGATGTCAGAATTGCGAGGATGTCTCAAGCGAAATGGGCTGGACCACCTCTTGCGCGGCAGCTCAGAGCTTAGAGTTTCGAGGATGTCTCAGGCGATACGGGCCTGACCACCTCTCGCGCGGCATCTGGGAGCTCAGCGTTTGGAGGATGTCTCAAGCGAAACGGGCCGGACCACCTCTCGCGCGGCATCTGGGAGCCCAGAGTTTCGAGGATTTCTCAAGCGAAACGGGCCAAACCACCTCTTGCGCGGCATCTGGGAACTCAGAGTTTGGAGGATGTCTCAAGCGAAACGCCCAATCCCGGACAACTCAGAAACGAGAGTTGCGAGGATGTCTCAGGCGAAACGGCCTGGACCACCAAATTAGTTTGAGGACGTCTCTGCTTTGAATTCTCTCGGCCGGAGTTAGCTTCTTCTATCACAACAGCACCCTGTTCAGCAAGCTGTTTGGGGGGGGAAAAATAGCGGCGGCACACCAACAGCAAGAACCCCATCCGCTCACTGTCAAGTCTTGCGCCTTGAACGTCCGCCCCGCTTTGTGCTACGACGCGACGGCAAGAGCGGTGAAGAGAAGCAACGGCAGTGGTGCAGCAAGCACAGGAGCAACAGACTCGGGATGCACACTTGGGATCGGCGGCAGGGGGCGCCAACGCCTCGCACAACTCCTCTTCGTGCCTGGCGGTCGCCGAGCCAAGGCGCTCCAGCTGCGCGCGGAGCTGGTCGACCGACAGGCGCGCCGCGTCGAACGGCACGTCGTCGAGAGCCTGGTCGGCGGGAGGGGGCGGCGGAGGAGGAGGAGGAGGAGGAGGAGGAGGAGGAGGAGGAGGAGGAGGCCTCTCGGGCACGCCGCCCATTGCGCGCATGCGCCGGTCCTGGCCAGGCCCCCGTGCTGAGCCTCGGGGCAGGCCCGGAAAGGTCAGTGCACGTGCACTTCTGGCGCCCTCCGGCCCTCGTGCTGCTCCCGCCGCCGCTGCTCCTCGTCCAGGCCCTCCCCCCTCGCCCCGATCCCCTTTCCTCCCCTCTGTCTTACCCTCCTCTCGCTCCTGCTCGTCCCCCTCTCATCCTCCTACTCGTCGTCGTCGTCGTCCTCCTCCTCCTCCTCCTCCTCCTCCTCCTCCACTCTTCACGTGTCCCCCTCCATCCTCCGTCTCTTACTCCTTCATCCCCCTCCCTCCTCGGAATGGCTGCAACTTGACTGGCCTGACTGACCGGCTGGGGAGTTCGGGGCACCGTTGCCGACGCCACGGGGGAAAACCCCCAAACTGGCCAGAAGGGCACCCCAAACGCCTGAGAGCAGTCGCCACTCATTGCCAAGGCGTCTGGGCGCCCGAAGGGGCCCGGCGCAACAACACACGCTGGGAGGAGGAGGAGGAGGAGGGGGAGGAGGAGGAGGAGGAGGAGGAGGAGAGGAGGAGGAGGAGGAGGAGGAGGAGAAGGAGGAGGAGGAGGACGGAAGCCATACGGCCGAGGAGGGGCGGGACCGTCGCCTCCCGTCGGTCGCCCCGTCGGTCACCCCGTCGGTCGTGGCTCGCGCGCGGGCCATCAAAGACAAAGGAAAAGAACAAGGCCGCCGCAGCGGCCAGGACTCTAAAGACGCCCAAGGGGCGGGAGGAGTCCTGGCATCGACGTCTACGAGCCCTGCGTGGACAAGATCGTCTTCTGCTACGAGTTGTTGCAGCTGCCAGCCGCCTCAACAGCCACCACGCCGCCCAGCAGCCACAGCGCCAGCAGCAGCAGCCCTTGAGTGAGGTCTACGACATGTCACACGCAGCTGCCAACGCTGGCCAGAGAAAGAGGTCATCGGGCCCCGCAGTCGGCGAGAGCCCATGGCCATGGCGTGCGCAGCGGGAGCGCAGCACCCAGCGCAACCAGGCTGAGGCGGCCCAATACGTTGCGTGGTGCGCTGCGCACCCCTAGTACCGACCCGAGCTCGTGAAGGAGGTCGTCAGACGCGGGGACCACATCCTGCGCACCGCTGGCGCCGTGGAGGCAGCCAGGCTCTTGAAGACGGCGCGCGAGGAGCATCACGGGAAGCCACTGGAAGGTGTTCTGGCCGACGACCTCCAAGCGGCGCTGAGCCCCGAGCACGGGAAGTACCCGCGGGCCATGGCTGAGGGAGGAAGGCCGTCGAGGAGGATCACTGCCAGGACGCGCGAAGTACACAAGTCGCACTCCTCTGCCGTAGACCACGCTGGAGAGATGTTCGAGAAGTGCTGGAAGGACTTCCGCTACGCCGTCGTCCTGTGGGCCTCGGAGGCTGTCAACGATGTGCTCGATGCCTCCGCCATCATCGAGTCTCCCTCATGCCAGGTCCCCAAGCAGAATCCAAGAAATCCTCGCGGAGCGCCAGAAGCTTGTTTCTGGCGTTTTTTCTTCTTCGGACTCTTAGTGTTCTCATCCTCCCCTCGCCGTCCTCGTTCCCCCTCTGCCCACGCGCTTCCAGGCGCCACGGCCAGGCCAGGCCAGGCCAGGCCAGGCCTGGGCGGGCCGGGCAGAACACGGGCACGGCCAGCCTGGACAAGTGGGGAACAAGGCAGTGCTGGACGGCCCCCAGAAGCACCCCAAGAGGCCGACAGAGTGAGCGCGCAACGCTGGTGCCTTCGTGGGCTGGAGAAGGCACCGGATCGAGTGCCAAAAGGTGGCAGAGGCAAGGGAGAAAGCATTAACAGCGCAAGGCGCGGACCATGACTGCTTCCTCGAACAAGGATCGCGCGCAGAGATCCGTGGCATGGCGTACAGGGCAGAGCTTCGTCGCCACCGAAAGCAAGACACAACGACAAATTTGGACGCCCAAGACTGGTACGAAAGCGGAGGCGGCATCTTGGTCTTGAGTGCACACCGTCCGCGGCGACACCGACAGCGCATCGGGTACCAGATGGCTGGAGAGGAACTGCTATTGGTCTTCGTCCCATGATTGTTGTAACCATCTCTGGGGAAACCAAAAGGTACCGATACGGCCACTCCCCAGACCTCTCCCAGGGTGCGTTCTGACCAGACTCTCGAGGCGAATCCAGCGGTGGCGACGAAGGCCCCCCAGGAGGGAGGCCCAGAAAAGGACAAACGAGGGAAGGGTAGAGGTATGGTTACAGTGGAGGCCAGTCCACCAGACACCTTCCAAAGAAACACAACCCTGAGACCCCCAGGACGTCCACTGATACTTGTTGTGGGAACGCCACGATCTCCATAGCAAAACCATCGGAACCCAAGAAACCCCGGGCACCCTGGAGGCGAGCAGGGTGTGTCTTGGCATGGGCCTCCACTGTATGGGTACCTTCTCCTCCACTGAACCTCAGGTAAGCTCGGTCCTCTCTCGGAGGAGCGCAAAGATGGATTAGCGATCCGTGGATTTAGCTTGTGGTCGCCAAATCCATGGATCGGGGGAGGTGCCCTCCCCGAAGTTCGGCTGGTGCCGCCCCGCTCGGCGGCGGCACTCCGCGATTGCCCATGCGGGACCCGTCGCTACTCCACGCCCCCTTAATCCATGCTTGCGATCGCCTGATGTATGGGTACCTTTTCCTCCCACTGAACCTGAGGTAACCTCGGTCCTCTCGCCGAGACAGGACAGCCGCATCTGAGTATCATTTAACCGATCCCTACACCGGGCGGCGTGCCCTGGACCAAACTGGCCGACTTACCCCCCTAGATGGGGATATGGGCCGTTCCCTTCGGGCTTCGAAGGGGTGTATCCCCAACTGGGGTGGTGCTTTGGTGGGAGTCTCGAAGGTGACGAGGATGGGGCTGGGGGCCGGCTGAACGATACTCCAGATTTTTTCGTAATAAAAGGGAGGGGGTCTGGACCCTCCAAGACAAGCCATTTCAGACCTCCCCCGTGGGAAAACCCTCCAAAACACCGTCCCCAGACCCCCCAGAGTGGCGCTCCAAGATAGCCTGGAAGAGACCCCCCCCCGAAATGAGACCCCCCTCCCTTTATTACGACATCTGGAGCACCGAACACATTGGGCCCCCGGCTCCCCCGCGGGCGAGGCGCGCCTCGGGTCCTGGGCCCGCCGCAGCCGCGGGTTCCGCTCGGCCGCCGCCCGCGCCGCCGGCCGGCGCCGGCGCCTCCCGCGCGCGCCGCGCGCTGCGCGAGGCCCTCGGCGCGCCGCGCGACGAGGCCCTCGCACAGCCCGCCGATCGGCGGCGAGCCAAGGGGGGGGGGAGTGAGGAGGAGAGGGCCTGCTCTGGACAGGCGCGTTCCACTACTCGCAGAGTGACTACTCGCAAGTGGCCTGGATGCTCAGCGAGGGATCTATGAGAAGTTGCATCGAAGCAGACATGTGTTTCTCGGACGCTTGCGAGTAGGCACGGTGCGAGCAGTGGAACGCGCTCGGCGATTCTCAGCAGGGCTGGACCTAAGCGTTGTTGTTTAGTTTTGTTGTTTGGTTTGCTCTGCCTGTCTTCCAGTACCTCTCCGTGCCACCACGAAAAACAAAGCACACGGTCGAAGTCCAGCAAAACAGCGTTTGGGTCCAGCCCTGCTTATCAGAAGGCCGGGGAGTCCCCCAGCCCTCTGAGAGGTCTTCTGAGCCTTCTCCGAAGACGCAGAAGCCTTTTCAGAAGGCCGAGGGCCTTCAGAAAAATCCCACCACCTTCTAAGGAGGTCTTCGCTTCCCCCCGGGAGAGCCCAGAATCGAATCGATAAGTCGGATCGGCGATCGACATGAATCGGATCGGCAGAAATCGGTTGCCGAGTCGGGAGAAGTCGAGTCGGCGGAAATTGGCAGGCTAGTATGCCTCCATTGAGAAATGGGAGCCCAAATCGGAATCCCGAGCCGAATCGAATCGGAATCGGCACACATCGAAATCGAATCGAATCGCATCGGAGGAATCGAAATGAGCCTTGTCCGCCTCGCTCGCCGCCGAACCGACGCTCTCGGCGGCCCTCGGCAGCCCTCGGCGGCCCTCGGAGCCCTTCGGCTGCCCCGCGGATGCCCTCTCGGCGGCCCTGGCGGCAGCCTGCCTGGAAGCCCTCGGACAAGGGCCCCATCGGGGCGCCGCGCGGGGCCCTCGCCAAAGGCCTGGCCAGAGGACCCGGTAAATGTGCGGTGGGCTCGAGTGGGATGCATAGGGGCAGTGGAGGAAGGGGAAGGGAGGAGCAGGAGGAGAAGGAGGAGGCGAAGGAGGAGGAGGAGGAGGAGGAAGAGGAAGAGGGGGAGGAGAAGGGGGAGGAGGAGGAGGAGAGAGGAGGAGAGGAAGAGAGGAGAAGGAGGGAGGAGGAGGAGAGAGGGAGAGGGGGAGGGGGAGGAGGAGGAGGAGGAGGGAGGAGGAGGAGGAGGAGGAGGAGGAGGAGGAGGAGGAGGAGGAGAGAAGGAGGAGGAGGAGGAGGAGGAGGAGGAGGAGGCAGAAGAAGGAGGAGGAAGAGGAGGAGGAGGCGGAGGAGGAGGAGGAAGAGGAAGAGGAGGAAGGAGGAGGAGGAGGAGGCGGAGGAGGAGGAAGAAAAGGAACATGGGGAGGGGGGGGGGGAGGAGGAGGAGGAGGAGGAACAGGAGGAGGAGGAGGAGGAGGAGGAGGAGGAGGAGGAGGAGGAGGACGAGGTGGGGCCAGGAGAAGGATCTGGCCGCCCCGGCGTGGTCCAGGCCGCCGTCCACAGTAGATCCCAAATTTTGCAAACAATGAGTGCCACAATGTGCGGGCCAAATCCAGGTGTGTGAAGGTCCTATGGGCGCACAATCTTGGGAGGGAAAGGGCCTCTTAGAAGGGAAGCGGCAACAAAACGTATAGAGGTTAAACAAAGGGAGTGGGATGAGGAGACGATCTGTGCAAGAAAAGAAGCGGTACTGCCGGGAGTGGAGAACGGAAAAAGACGAGTAAACGATAATGTCGGGCGATATGCTGGAGCAGGGTACGATACTGTGGTGCGATAGGTGGGAAGAGAGGGGCATCATGCGCCCTCTTTTCTCCTGCGCAACCCTTGCACTGCGGCCCAGCATTCTGACACGCCGGCTGAATCATCTTTGCTGCCGAAAATGTATGGAAGATTCGAAGGGTGAGAGAGGATGACGGAAAACGGAGGATCAGCAACGACCAGACAGTGCGGATCAAATACTGAACTGTCCGCAGTCGGCGCTGACCTGCAAGACGGCCTAGCAAACTGACGCGCCTGCACGCAAGCAGCATACCGAACGGAACGCTGAATAATCTCCGCTGCTGAGAAGCAACAAGACATATAAGCAATGGACAGACGAGGGAGGTCAAACGAATAACATGGTGAGCTGTCCGCATGGGCAGCTCACCTGCAAGACGGTCCAGCAATCTGAAAAGCCCGCGCGCGAGTAGAATACCGAACGGCCCGCTGAATAACCTCCGCAATTGCACCATCAAAGACCAACCCAACCTGTCAACCAACCGCGCCTAGGCACGAGCAGCAAGCCGACAACAGTCCAGAACAATCTCCGCTGCAGAGAATCAGAACAATAATCAGGGGGCACATGAGGGAAGAGGGCGAATCTGAACGACAAACCATAATATCACCTACCAGCTTCTTCACATCCGCATCATCTCCTGCGGGGGTGCGGTAGGCCTGCTTATGCAATCCAGCTGCAACAAATTCGCAGCCCGTGACATATGTAAGGACATGACGAAGTGCAAGGCATCCGGTCCACATCTGGCCACCACTTGCCCGGGGCCTCGGAGTGATGATCCGAACGCTGCGCCATGGAGCTGGATCTCTGCAGTGAGACTTGCCACGCATACGAGGGCAACGCCGATGCGCGTGAACTAGCTGATGCCTGCGCCCGCCCCGTCACTAGCATCACCGAAGATCGGCCGTGCCTACTCGGAACGCCCCCTGGGACAGCTCGCGGGAGCCCGTGAATTCCAGGGCCGCCCGCGCCGAGAACCCGGGCACTTCCGCCCAGCCGCGCAGCATCAGCCCCCGCGCCCAGGAGCACTCAATAGACACAGCTTGCGCCGACGCTTCTGGCACCAGGCTGTCCGACTTGGTGTAAGGTGGAAGGACCCGTATTCCTGTCGCACTTCCAACATCTGTGTAGCGCCGTCCCCGGGTGGGATCGGCATCGGTCGCGCAGACTGCCAGCTGCGCACTTGGCAATCTCGCCCTGGCTTCGTTGACGCGCCCGGACGCCGCCCGCAGAAATTGACAATTCTGACCAACGCACACCACGCGGCAACTGGCTGACCTGCTCCAAGAGAAGCCTGAAGGAGTGATTGTCCACTCCGCCTTCAGCTCTTTCTCCACTATAGTGCTGCGCTGCCTTGCCCCAGGCAGTCAACTCCGCTGACCGTCGCACGCGGCGAAGTAAATCGTGGCGCGCGTCCAGAAAATTACTCCCAGTATAGATCGCATCTGGAAAATGCCATTCCTCAGCGGCGCCCCGCTGGAATGCACGCGACCGTGCACATGCTGCCCCAGGGCCCCAGCCAATGCGCAGCAGGGCGACGGTGGTCGTCGACGCAGGTCCCCAAATAGCACGCACCTGCTGCTCGGGCTCGAGGCCGCGCATGTGGTCGCACATATTGGGCCAGGCCTGGCGGACGCCCCTCCTGTCGTCGGGCCGCCGCTGCCAGACGCTGAGCCACTCGCCGGCGCAGCCCACTGGGGCCGCGACGACAGGGTCGCCGCCTGGGGCCCGCGGGTCAAGGAGCGTTGCAAGACAGCGCCCCATACGCCCCTGCTGAGCGCGACTGCCCCATCCTCCTGCGACATTTGACCAGCTGCTGGCCGAACACACCATGCATCTGCACTCAGCATGGTTCCGCGGGTTGGTATCCGTTGCGCTCGAGACAAGTCGTTATGCCGCGCCGATACGCGGTGCGGCTGAACCTCTTGTCCTTCGCGCACGTCGGGCCATGCTTGATTTGAGGGTGACTCCGCGTCGCTCTGCCGCGCCTGCCGCAGCTGAAACCCAGCCCCAAACATGGTACCTGGAGCAGAACCTTGACTGGCTAGCTCTTGATCTCGGCGGCCCTGGCGACCGCGCGAGCGTCGGCCGCCGCAGCGCGCGCGTCGACTGACTTCTTTGCTAGCCCGAGGCAACCTTGGCGAGGCCCTGGCCCGTCTTCACGACTCTACGAATCGGGCTTGCTGCCGGGCTGCATGATCCTGATGTTCTGTCGCGCGCCATCTACCCACGCTCTGTGAGTCATGCGCGTTGTCGCCGTGGCCACCGCGCCGAGCACAAGTGGGTGATAATCTCAGCGAACCGAGTTCCCCCTCGCAGCCCTTGGATGGCCGACTGGCAGGGCTCAAAAGGCTCGCTGGCTGCTCCCCCCTGGGAAAGCGCGCGGGATGCTACGCGCTGAATCCATGAAATATGAAAAGTTACTTGTGGTAAATGGTGCCTCATAGCGGCCTTGGCCAGGGGCTGTCCATGGAAATGGCTCGTAACATTCTTGCAAATCAGGTGAGTCCTTGCCGAACTGCATTCCGATCTCACGCGCGAGTCCTTCATCAATTGCGCGAAGATGTGCCTCCCCAGCAACTTCGGCATGCCATGCCTGTCCTTGATCTTTGCTCCACTGCTTCACTATAGGTTCCCAAATGCGCGACTGCAGCCGGCCCATCATTGATATCACACCTATGCCGCGCCCCCCCTGCGACTTCTGGGGAGCGAGGAACGACGCGATGAGCTGGGTTTGCCGTTTGCGCTGGAGAGGCCAGCGGCGACTCTGCACTCTTCAAGATAGTGAACTCCAGGACCGCCCCTCGAGGTAGCCCCTGTTAGTCCACTGGGCTCAGGATGTCAAACCCGAAGGCCCGCCATGGCCATCGTGGGATTGGCGCTGGCGTAGACTAGCTCAAGGGAAGGATCTGGAAGAGCATCGAATCGGGGCCCCTCTCGGGTCGCGCGATATACCTCGCGCGCTTCAATTTGTTGACCGGCTCGTGTATGGCAGCTCGCTGGGCCTTTCAAGCCACGCGCTTCGCTGCGACGACGTAAATCTGCAGCACTGGGGCTGCCGGCCTCGTCGGGTCAGCCAGCGCGGATAGCCGCTGATCCCGCGGGGCACCGCGGCCCTAGTCGAAAATGGCATGGGCCCTATCAGGGCGTGCGCACGCTTTAGCGTACTCATCGCGCTGGCGAACTCCGGTGCCCCTGCTCTGGAGGCGCTGCGCCCCTGACAG